ATATATATATATATAAATATATAAATATACATATATATATATATACATACATATACAAATACATATACATATACACATATGAATATATTGCGCATGAAAATATACAGAGACTCGCGTGCAGATTTTCAACTTCTAAAGAAAACTGATATAATAATAACAGGTTGTCATCGTACACACCTCCCTTTTTACGTGGGAATATCGGCATTTGGTACCGAATCGGCATTTTTGATTTTTTCGGTACGCATCGCATTCCCGATTTGCGGTCTTTGGCTGTACAAGATAAGTAAATTGCAGCGGTGGGCCACATGGCAGGTCAGCAACAGGAGAAAGGCAGTTGAGCATAGTAAACCACACATTTATAAACCCGTTATAAACCCACAGGTTTATAAACCCAAAGGTATATAAACCCAACGGTTTATAAACCCAACGGTTAGCGGTTTATAAACCCAAAGGTATATAAACCCAAAGGTATATAAACCCAAAGGCTTATAAACCCAAAGGCTTATAAACCCAAAGGCTTATAAGGGTTATAAACCCAGACGTTTATAAACCCACACGTTTAGAATCGACAATTTTATAGACCCACACGTTTTTAAACCCGCACGTTTATAGTGATACAGCCATATATCACATGTCGTCGGATTGTCACGTATATTGCATTGTTTATCTCATCAATTCAATCGATTTAACAGACGCCGTACATCGCGCCAGAACGACGTTAAGGTCTTGGGTTTTACTAAAGCCTAAACCATCTGTGGCCTCTAACCTACTACAAACGCATGTTCAGCGCCTGACCTTCCTGTGAGTGTATTGTATACATCAATTCTACGTCGTTTCTCAAATATTCACATGCACTCATCGCAGTAGACATAAATACGCACTTCTGTATTACGTACCCCTTTATTACGTACCCCTGTTCACATACACCGATCGCAGTAGACATAAATACGTACTTCTGTATTACGTACCCCTGTTCACATACACCGATCGCAGTAGACATAAATACGCACTTCTGTATTACGTACCCCTGTTCACATACACCGATCGCAGTAGACATACAAATACACCCGCTCTGTATAGGCGCCACCTTGTACGGTGTCAGCTTGAGACAAGGGTACCTTGTGTGTGGCATCGGAGACTACATTCTTATGCGTGTTGCCGATGACGCTGTAGTATGCTTTAATACCAGAAAATAACAACGCATATGTAACACTGTATCATTGTACATAAACACCCGCCAATTCTATCCGTGCTGATCACAGATATCAAACACACACACACACATGCACGTATAAAATAATGCATCTCACTGGAATAAGACTCCAGTATGTGTGAAATTGAACGATACTGGTGGGAAGGCATAATGTACTAACTGAGAATAAGGTAGGTATAAACCATACGTCTCGTACGATTGTAATGAATGAAACTGGTGGGTAGAAATAATCTACTAACTAAGGATGAGGTAGGTATAACCCATACGTCTCGTACGATTTGTAAAGAATGAAACTGGTGGGTAGACATAATGTACTAGCTGAGGATGAGGTAGGTATAACCCATACGTCTTGTACGATTGTAATGAATGAAACTGGTGGGTAGACATAATGTACTAGCTGAGGATGAGGTAGGTATAACCCATACGTCTCGTACGATTTGTCCAAGGACCATAGCGGTTGGTAGACACACAGTACAGTCAATGACGAAGTATAGTCTATATGTTAGTAACAGTACTCGTCGACGTGTATATATTACCGCTTGAGTGATTGCAGGGCGGTAACGTTATGTGAAGATCACAGAATGGCAATTGTGTGATGCACCCGCGAGTGGACAAGAAGCAAGGGACTCTCACCTGAGCTTATACTGAAAGGCTTTTGAGTGACAAACAGCCTATGGAGTGATGACGGACACATCCATAGTAGAAGTGTGCTCCAGTAGGTGGATACTACTCGTGGCTGAGGAACATATACATACTAGAGATGTGCTGAGACAGAGATGTGGCTATTCGTTTCAAACACTGAACAGTAAAGGAAGGTGCACGGGACAATGCTAGATATAATACACATGCGACTAGGCTGTTCTATAAATAGAAGCAACTGGTGCAATAAACAAGGCACACGCCCACTCGGCTAGTTTAACACGTGACCAGCGCCGGAGGTATGGAGATGCGCGTATGCCAGTTTCCTAATTGACTAGGCATTAGTTTATGTGTGTGTAACGGTGCTTGAAACAACTGGTGGTGCCACTAGATTCATTTGATATGCACAACCATGGCGAAGCAATCCACAACACACAGATACTGTTGTCTGTACAATGACACTCATTCCCGGATATTGTTATGCATGAAAACCTAAGTACATATACTCTCCGCAGGGCCTATAAAGGGGTTGTGATCATTCACATGTGACAGAAACGTTACATGCGCCACAATCGGACCTACACACTACACTGAATACGTTTCGGCATGTGTAAGAAATTTACCGGTTTATTGCCTGAATCAATATCGGGACCGTCCGCTACTTCCACATCCTTCTCCATCTGAGTGTGGTTGTTTACTGCGTCCCGCTTTGCATCCCGCTTTGCATTCCTTTGGCTGCGCGAGGTCTCTCCCGTACCTCTACTATCTCCGCCCCTGTTATTTGTACCCTCACTATCTATACCCGCAGTACCGTGCCCACTGCTGGTCCTCTCGCTACCAGCCCTTGTGCTGTTCTGCTGTGTGGTATTGTGCTGAAAGGCACACGCATCTCCCGCCTTACACTGTCCCGTGGCCTTGTAGTAACGGCACGCTTTCCTTTTCCCCTTTGGCGGCTTTAGTGGTGTTGTACTATCGTTCTTCACCTCTGCCTGTGCTTCCCGTGCGTCACCGCGTGTATTGTGTTGTGTATTCGTAGTGTACCTGTTGAGACCCCGTGGCTCGGCGGTGGGTGGGGCTGTGCTATTTGAAACAAATGCCTGTGCTTCTACCGACATGCTTGTTGGTACTGTTGAAGGTGTTTGGGTGTGTGATGCTTCTGTCTTGTTATTTAGGTGCGGTGTGGGTGACTCTGTGCCACTTGCATTCGAGTATGTCACAGTGGGATTAGGCCCCGACGCAGTCGATGCATTGTCTATACGTGAGTTGGATATAACGTCCGGTGAAGATACAGAGATATGTGCAGATCCAGAGGTAGAGATGGGAGGGTTCGTGGGTCCTGTTTCTGGGACATTGTGAACGGGAACAGTCTGTGAGGGAGTCCCATTGAGAGTCATAGTACTCACATCCGGTACGTTAACCTTTGCCTGAGACCATGGGGGTAACTTCTTCTTCGGCTGTTCCAGTTGTGGCATAATATTTCACGGACTGTCTGTGACAAGTGCTGTACGAGGGTTCTAGCTAAGGTATAAAAATCACTTGTTCACTAAATAAAGGGCGGTAGACAACTAGACATGTAAATAAGCTCATATTTATACGCGACGTAAACTACTTACAAAGCCTCCTGAATATAATCACTATCATTTAAAAGAATAAATACATGGCAGAGCCTTCTGTTTCAGAAGGCACTACGGCATACATATAAAAAACTATGGAAATGTGTGCTAATAAAACGATTACATATTAAAAACTATGGAAATGTGTGCTAATAAAACGATTAAAAAACTATGGAAATGTGTGCTAATAAAACGATTAAAAAACTATGGAAATGTGTGCTAATAAAACGATTAAAAAACTATGGAAATGGGTGCTAATAAAACGATTAAAAAACTATGGAAATGTGTGCTAATAAAACGATTAAAAAACTATGGAAATGTGTGCTAATAAAACGATCTCAAGACTCTTGGCACGCTGTATATATATATTGTTTTTTTACTCCGGATGCATAGCCCTCTTGCTTTTCTTTTTCTAAAAACCCCCTTTTAAAAAAAAATACTATGCCTTCGTAAATACTTAAAAAAAAAATAGAAGAAGGCTATGACTGAGAACGAAAAGAGAGACAAGGAAAGAACAATACGATGATATAGATGTGATCACGTAAAAATACAGATTGAACATCTCTGTTAACTCAGTTGGTTAGAGTGCGGACCTAATAAGTCCGAAGTCACCAGTTCGAGCCTGGTACGGAGAAAAAAGGGTTTTATTTATATTCATTTTTGTTAAATAAAGTTTAAATAGAGTATTTACTAGTTGTCATGCAGTACACGTGGCTCAGGTTTGCCATTGATTTACCGATAAGAATTAAATATATGTATCATCTTTATGTGTTGACTGCGTAGTCATAAACCCGTAGCCGAACCGCGTGTATCATATACGATATACATAACCCACAAGCATACACCATTCAAGTTCTCGAATAAACTGTGCAGTAGTACCATTTTTAACATACAAACGAGCACCATCATTCGCCATGTCTATTGACGACTGTCCAATTTTGATGGCTGAGGTCAGCCCCGATCCCGTGAAAGCTGTAAACCCGCCACTCATGCAAGTTAAGTCGAAGGAGAACAAAGATGGCACTATAGCATTCTCAAAGGTATGTGGAAATTTCAGAAGGTCATCGATGTTGAAAATCCATGTTCTGCTGCAATCAACACAGGGTTGGTGAGAATAGATGAAATACCTTTACAAAGACATTGTGCATTGATTTGCGCTGAATTTCGATAAGCGATTTAATCCATTCCGTGTGGATTCGCTGAAGCTACTGGTGAGATATGTGGTTATATATAT